AACTTATAAAATATTACTTATTTAACAACAAATTCAACCCTTAATATTATAAAATTATAGTACAATACTTAATACATACTCCCTTTGCTTTAAAATAATTATCGTTTTTTAACTCTTTCCTTAAACTGAGGATTTAAGAACAATAATTATATTTATCTGTAACACCCTTAAAAAAAAGATATATAGAGATTTTTTGTAATTAAATCATTAATTAAAATGAATAAATAATAATAATTTTAAAGTAAAAGAATATGTGTATGTCTTAAAAAATAAAAAATGACAATTAATTTAAAATAAATTTAAAATTAAAAAATGACAATTAATTAGTATCAATTCAATTAAATTTTTATTGGTAATATTATTTAAACTATAAATAATATAATAAATATATTTGATTTGATAAATTTTATTAGTTTATTGTTATTTTTTAAAAAAATTAGTAATTTTAGTGTTTAAAAATATTAATTAAAATATTTTTTTTTGTACAAGTCATTCTAAAAAAAATAGAAAGACAATATGCACCACACAATCTCTATATAAAAATTTAGCATGTAAAATCCTAACCAATGATGAAAGAGATTTAAATGAAAACACACTGTATATCCTGAAATTAGTTCAAAAAGACAATGAGACCTCACGAAAAATTATAGAAAGTATGCTTTTACATTTTTTAAAATTATTTTTTAAAAGATAAAATAAATAAAAACAAAAATGATTTACAAATCCTTAATAAAAAGTTAAAATTAAAAATGATTTATTATTATTTTGAGACAGACTCTATAGACTTCAATATCCATGCATGTACCGAACAAGTCGTTCAATGCATGCTCGCCACAATGGCCGGTGTCCCTAATAAATGAACACTATCCAATTTCAAACTACAATAATCTCTTACGTTTTGTTTTTTTCTCATCAAACAAATGTGATGTTCTTACTTTTTCCATATCTATCAAATAATATGCTTACAGCACTATTTTGTTATACATTCTCCACGTTTAATTTGAATTACAGTGTGAAACAATCCACATGCCCAAAACGAGGTTCATGAACTGGAATTTATCGAGTTCATGGTATTTGGGAACAGAGGGGAGAAGGAAAAACTCTTCTTTGAATAAAATTCAGGTAGGAGAGTGATACAAGAAAACTCTTTGTCGCACTAAGAAAACGTGCACTAAATTGAAGTCCTGTTTTTAAGTCTTGATTCATAATTAATCATGGTGGTGGACTTCCCTCTTGGGTGTTGGTCTAGGTATGTTCTGTGAGATCCCGATTTGTTAAAACACAGAGGCTGGGTCCCATAGTAGACAATTCCGTAGTGGGAGTAATGATAGGGAGGACGAAAAAATTTTGGATGAAAATGTGAGATGAATTATGGTGATTATATATGTTATATTATTAAATTAATTAATATCTAATATAATTAACTAATATTAAAAAGTTAATAAAAAATATACCAGGCATCTGGCCCTGGGGACCAAGTGGTCTCTGACCACATAAGATGCATTTCTCTTTCGAGCAGGGTTTAAACCCACCTCCATGTAATACTGTTTAAAAATAAAAAATAAAAAATATACCAGGCACGTGTAATGTGAGGGGCTTATAAGTG